ACACAGCAGCCTTGGGGTGGCCAGAGCTGAGATGTGATTCCCAGTCTGACTTCTAAGCCCCTTCCTTCTCCACATCATAGAGGTCCTTCCTACCTGCAATGCTCAGCATCATTGTCTGCTGGACCTGAGGCTTTGTATGCCCTGGAGAGGCTGGCATTACAAAGAAAAAGAGCTGGCATTTACTGTAACTGAAGCTACAAATGCAATGTAAGTTTGGAGTGGATTGCAGTCCTGACTTTCAGAAGATTTACTAATCAGAGTTTGAGTCATAGATGCTCAACTGTTATTCCCAGGGTCTCTCCTCACTCTGCTTTCCACCATCCCGCATATTCCTTCTTACATAAATTGCTCATGGATTCCAAAAGTGGATTCATGGGTTCAGGGCCAGCCCATATCAATAAACCCTGGGGAAAATCTTCATGTGTGATTCCATTCATAGATCTCTGTGATAAGGAGCCTTCTTTGAGCAGTTTTAATGACTCGTTATCCAGATGAATGTTCTGAAAGGAGTACACTGCATCTTAGTGAAATCTTATCAGTTCTGTCCTCCATTAAAAATATTTGAGTACCTTCTAGATAACAGGAATAGAGGGGTGAACCCCGCCGACAAAGACTCTGCCCAGGCAGAACTGGCTTTCTAGCAGAGGAGGCCCCTGGTAAACAAGTGAATGGAGTCGTATGGATTCAGATGGGTGCACATCCCTGTTACTCACTCTCCTCACATGGCTATCTCCTACTAAATCTCCTTGAGATCATCATCTTCATGGTTTTTTCCTTCCCGGGTGTCTACCATTTCTGTGGCCTCAGATGTCCATGCTTATGTTGTGACCTGGGCTGGAATGGCCTCTTCTGCCTCCCCCTGAGTCCTGTTCATCCTTCAGCTCTGATCAGAGTTGCCACCACTTCCTGCTCCGTACTATCATAACTGAGCACCCGCACAGTACGATGTACTGCTTTTTTGGACATGTTTGTCCCCCTCCTGGGTGCTGAACACTTTAAGGAGAGAGCGTCTGTGTCTGATTTGTCTTTATATCTCCAGGGCTTGGTGTGGAGTTTTGTGAAAGTGGATGCTCAATGTGTTTGCTCCAAGAACAAATGTTGAGCCGCATGGCACCTAGTGGTGGGCGGTGGTATTACAGGAATTGCTTCACAGGGAGGGATGCTTGACTAGCAGTTGGGTGATTCTTTGAGAAGCTCAGCATGAACATTGTCGTGAGTAGAGAGGATGAGCCAGGATATAGGTAGTGATGGTGGAATAGAGACGCCTTGGAATCTTCTGGTGAGGTTTTGAAGAAAAGTTAGAGAATTTGAAGTTCTGAGGTTCTAGGTGGGGAGTGGAGGGAACACTAAGGATGCTGTGGTTTATAGCTGATGTCCAGTTGGGGTCCAGAGGGTCTGGGGCTTGACCTGGTTCCAGTAGCTAGTCAGTTTCAGGTAGGAGATCCAGGCTTCCAGAGGGCTTCCTCTATGCTGGGACTGTGGTTTGTGACAGATAAAGAAACAAAGGCACAGAGAGGTGAAGTAACTTGCCCCAGATCACATAGCTAATAAGTAGTAGAGCCTGATTGCAAACATAGATCTGTCCAATGACAGAGGCCAGCTTGTAACCACTAACCTATCATGTCTCTTCTTGGAGATTGTGAAATGCGCAGTCATAACAATTTGCAGTTTTCCCCTTTCGTTAGTTGTAAGCCATTGCAGGAAAATAATTATTAATGTGTTTTCTTTCCATTGAATGTAGTTGAATGTTTTCAGAAAAACATTCAAAGTTTTAAAATATTAAAATAAAAGTCCTTAAGTTGTTTACTGTGTGTACATACATGTGTATATAAGTAACATAAAGGTTTTGTTTTTCTCCACCACTAAATTTAAAATACTCCTACTCGCAAAGTATTTTATACTCTATTGTAATGAATGAAAATCCAGTCCTTTAATGTTAGGAACCCCAGCTGTATAGTCAATGAATGTAACTGGAACATTCTTACCTGTGTAGGTTTTGCATCTAGTTCTAACATCTGTCGACATATGGACCAGAAAGTGATCACATCACTATTTTAGAAATGAGTCTTTTTAGACACAGAAAAGTTAAATGACCTGTCTGAATTTCTTTGTTTTCTTCTTTTTTATAAGTTTTTTAAACTTTATTTTTCCTTCTTTTTTCTGTTCTTTTAAAAAATTTTGTCATTGTTGTCGTCTTCTTCCTCTTCCTCTTCTTCCTCTCCGCCTCCTCCTCCCTCTGCTGCTCCCCTTCCGCCCTCCCCTTCTCTCCCTCCCCCTCTCTCCTCCTCCTCCTTCTTGTCTGAATTTCAAAATGAGTTGATAGAGGAACCCAAAATAGAAGCTTTTCTATTACATACTAGACTCACGAAAGTTCCTAACATAGAGGCCATCTGCATTCTCTGAGCAGACTAAAGTCCAGACCCTGGGACAGCTGCCTGTTTTAACACACAAGAATGTTTCCATTGGCAGGGGGAAGGGCAGCCAGGGAAAGGCAAAGGGAGGTCTGACGTGATGGTTTCTAGGTCATTTCCAACCTTCCTATTATTGCACGGTTTTCTGGGTGGAAGATAATATGCTCATTAATGTGGAAGTATTCATTTAAAAATGAAGCAGTAGAAACCCAAGATGGCTCTGTTACATAGATAAATGAAATGCATAAATGGACTCAGTTTTTGTTTTTCATGGTGTCACGTTCTGTGTTCAGGCAAAAGAGCAGGTAAATAAGTAGTTGTTTAACAATGAAACAGTGTGTCCTTCATTTAACTTTAAAAGCTACTGATTAGAATAGTAATCAGTGTTAACATGTAGTGCTAAATTCATAGAAACACTGATATTACAGTGGGTAGAGATATAGAATGATGCTCTTTAGTCCTGCTTGTAATCTAACTTTTAAAACACATCCAAATTCAAAAATGAGGAAGCAAGCAAGCAACATTCTTCAAATGGGATATTTGGGGCAATTAAATTCTTAGCATAAGTTACAAATTCCTGTCTCTTCTCCATCTTCTGCCCACATTTGTTTTTATGGAATGACCTTTGATACCAACCTATTTTATAATAAATGTTCTCTGAATTTTATTTTAAATTGAAATGGCCTTTTCTGTCAAGTACGGTATTTATGAAAGTTTCTTTGATGAAAAGCCTATGACTTTTGTGCAAATAACCCAGGCAGGCTCTTAGATTAGTGATAACATTTGTATAGGACTTTTATGGCTTTATACAGTACTTTACACTCGATTTATTTGACCCTTACCTGTAAGCACTCAGTGGAATTCACATTTTACTGATGAGAGCAATGTAGGGAAAGGTGACTTGGCAAGGTTCTGGGCACAAACAGGCATTCAACATGTTCACTTTAAAAGGAAATTAACAAAGGGAGCCCAACAGGCTGTTTAACTTGCTCGAGGTTGCCCAGCAAGTAGTGCATCATACCAAGAATTGAACTTACTTCTTTAACTTAAAAATTCCATATGCTGGCATTGTCTCACTGCTGTCTTTTCAGGCTGTTTAAGAGATCAAATAAAAAATATTCATTTTTCTTAATTGAGATGAAATTCACATAACTTTAATTTTAAGGCCTACATTTCAGCAGCCTTGAGTACATTCATGGTGTTCTGCAGCCATCACCTCTATCTAGTTCAAAAATGTTTTCATCATCCCCAAAGGAGACCCCATATCCATTAATCAGCCGCCCCATCCCCCGTCTCCCCAGATGCTGGTTACTGTGACTCTGCCTACTGTCTCTATAGATTTACCCGGTCTAGATATTTCATGTAAATGGAATTGCACAGCAGATGACTGTCTAAGACCCTTCAGGCTGTCATGGTAGGACACCATAGGCTGGGTGGCCTTTATGCACAGAGATATATTTCTCACGGTTCTAGAGACCGGGAAGTCCAAGATCAAGGCTTCAGAAGATTTGGTGTCTGGTGAGAACTCTCTTCCTGGTTTGTGCGTGGCTGTCATCTCACTGTGTACTCACGTGGGGAAGGGGGCTCTCTGGGATCTGCTTCATAAGGACACAAATCCCAGTCATAAGGGCTCTGCTCTCACGACCTAATCACATCCCAAAGGCTCTACCTCCTCATACCATCAGATTTGGCGTTAGGGTTTCAACATATGAATTTTAAGGGGACATAACTATTCAGTCCATAGCAGTGACCTTTTGTGTCTGGTTTCATTTACTTAGTGTGATGTTTTCAAGGTAAATCTATGTTGCAGTGAGTATCCGTGCTTTATTACGTTGTATGGCTGAATTATATTCCATTGTAGGGATAGACCAACTATTCATTAGTTGATGGATGTTGAATTGTTGCCATTTTTTTGGTGAATAGTGCTGCTATGAACATTTGTGTTCAAATAATTGTTTGAACGCCTGTTTTCAGTTCTTAGAAGTAGAAATTGCCAGGTTATATGGTAATTCTGTGTTTAACTTTTTGAGGAACCAACAAACTGTTTTCCATAGTGACTGAACCATTTTACATTCCTACCAACAATGTACAAGGGTTCTGATTGCCCCATATCCTGGGCAGTGCTTAGTGGAGTTTTTTAAAAAAATTATTATAACCATTCTAGTGGGTATAAAGTGGTATTTCCTTGTGGTTTTGATTTGCATTTTTCTTGATAAATTATTCATATTTTAATGCATAGAATTAATCATAAAATGAGCTTTGATAAGACAAAATCAACATCAAAATGACTGGCTTCATCTGTCTCCAGGAGATTATTTAAGACTGACATATAAACACCCCTAGGGTACATAATTCTGGGCTGAAAATAAAGAACATGTTGCTTTGAAACTAGAAGAATGTATGTGGATAATAAGACCACAATTATCCCCTAACTTAAAAAATGCTACTTAAATTAATGAGGAAAAATAAGAAATTACATCATGTTTTGTTTTCATGCCACCTGCCAAAAGACACTTAGTTCTTTGCACTACAAAACTTTCTGTATGCAATTCTTTCATGTCTTAATGGACTGTTTATTTATTTTTGCAGTGTGAGTGAAGACATCCAGAATGGCTCAGGGATCCGGGGATCAGAGAGCACTGGGCATTGCTGATCCAGAGGAGAGTTCTCCAAATATGATAGTCTACCGCAAAGTAAGGCATCTGGTTAAACACTGGGGGTGCTGCCGTGTGTGTGTGTGTGTGTGTGTGTGTGTGTGTGTGTTGTGTCGGGTTGACTGATGGTTGACAGCTCGACAAATGTTTTCTGCCTAAACTGCCTTGACTGAGAAATGAATACAACTTTCTCTTGTATCCTCTGATTCTCCAATATTAGAATTCAAGGAAGTTAGGTTTTGACATACTTGGTATCAAGAACTTGAAAAACATGTGGATTAGTTTTTTTTTAAACCAAAGGTTGCCTAAACCATGCCGATGGACTTATATTGTCCTTCTGTGTAAAGGGCTTAGATTAATGTTAATTAATCAAACGTTCTTCAAACCCATACTATGCACGTGATCTGGTCTGGATGCTGTGGAGGACACAGAGGTATGTATGTATTAGATGTTTTACAGCTGGTAGGAGATGTAAGACGTACACAGATAACTGTTGCAGAGCCTAAGTGTGAATTGCCAAAGGAAGATGTTAATGTAATCTCAGAGGAGGGGCAATTACTTCCAGCCGCAGAGGTCTGCCAGGGGCTGTGGAGGAGTGGCTTTGAACTCAGTTTGAAAGGATCTATAGATCGCTTTATGTAGAAAGCAGATGGGAAGAGCAACATTCCAGCAAAGACAAAGAACTGGAGGAAGTGAAGGACCATCAGAACCAGTTAGCTTGGGCAGAGGATGAATTACATGAAGTAAATGGAGGTGAGATTTGGGGAAGAGAGTCTGGATGGAGCCAGATTTTAGAACATTGAGTTGCAGGCAATTAATTCTTAAGAAACTTTATTGCTGGGAGTTGTAAAATCAACATTTCTTTGGGATTATGAACCTTGCCACAGTGTGCCAAGTGCACTGTTCCCAGGGTAGGTTGGAGGCTCTAGGGGGATGTGTCTGTGTCTGTGAGAAAGGTAAGGAGGACACTAATCTAAGGAGGGAAAATGCCCCTCAGAAATGAGCAGGACTGAACAGAGGGATTAAAGAGTCTGAATTAACAACGATTGGAAACAGAATGAACAGGAAATTAGAAGGTGAATAGAGAGTCAAAGATGACTGGGTTTTTGGCCTTAGGTGGTAGAAGGCATTGGTGCTATTAACTCGAACTGGGGTATTTGGAAGAATACATTTTAAAGAAAGGAAATATGGCACATAAGTTTTATCTGTGCATGTGTTGAATTTGAGGAAATAATTGCTGCTTTTTACATACCTTTTTAGTGTTTGCATGTTTGTGAAAATTTAACCTAACTACATCACATATTAATAAGGAAAATGAGTTCACGCTCATTCATTTCACTAAATATTTGCATTGTCTGCTGGGTTCTGGGTATTATGCAAGACTCTATGTTCTATCTATGTTAATCATGTGCGCAGTGTTGAACTAAATATTTCCAGATGCTCAATATGGTGAATTTTTCTTGTCTTCTTGCAAAAATAGAACTCTTAAACTATTCTTGCTTTCAGTACCAAATTCCTCAATCCTTTGCTTTGCAAAAGAATGCTTAGATAACCCATCTCTAAGAGAGATGCTTATTAAATTGTAATAAAGAAAAAAATAGATTAATGGAGCTGACCAAGTAGTGAGGCATATAGGATGATAGAAAGACATTTATTTATGATTACTTTTTAAACTCACACCAAAATAGGAGACCTGGTGCCAAGCTCTTAGGAACATGGAGTTTAGAGTCAGACCTGGGTTAAAACTGCAACTCTGCCACTTCCTAGTGGTGTGACCTAGAGTCGGTTACTTAACTTCTGTGAGTCTCTGTTTCTTCATCTATAAAAGGAAAAAAAAAAGTGGGAGGAAGGGTCGTACCACATGGAGTTATGTGAAGATTCATTTGGATAAAGTAAATAAGGCATCTTACACCCTGCTTGGCATAGAAGTGGTCCATCGTGAATGTTTCTTTTGCTGTTATCTCTCGGTCTTGAAGAGACAGTGACACTGGGAGAGGAAATAAATTATAAAAGGTATAAATGCTGGTACTGTCAATAAGGTGACTAAAGTGCATTCAGACAGTGAGCTGCTTTTTGAGACAAAGGAAAACAATGCAGATTTTTTTAGGTTATTCAGGAGATTGCAAATCAATGATTTTTTTATTAAAGGTTAATAGGAAATATAAAGGTCATGTGATCCAAACACCTTTCCACAAGAATGTTTGGCATTATGTTGAAAGGGAAAACTCCCTACAGTTTTGTGGGAACTTGATTTTTACTTTTTAGGTGGTAGCTGGGGACTTTCCATTGTTTTAGTTTAATTTAGCAACAAAATTGTCAATTGCTGTAGTTCTTTAGGGAAATGACCACAAGTCATTTGGTTTCTATCTTAGAAATCTATCTTGCTCCCTCATGACAAATCTGTGGGAGGGGGCTATCTATGTGTTCATGTTATTTACTATAGTAGTTAATTGCTATAAAAGGGACACTGGATCTGTTCAATCTCTTAGGAAGAGAGATACTGCCCAGTACCGGTCCAGGACTTGGAGTCATTCAAGCCTAGTTAATTTGACTAACTTAAGACATGGGATATTCACCTAGTTCTCTTCTGTAGACTGGCCATTAGCTGTGACCAAGACTTACCTACTGCAGGACACTGTCCTCAAGGGGTAGGTGAAGACTGACTCTTGGAACTAAGGTTGATTCAAAACATTTCCTATGGAAGTCCTCTTATGTAATGATTTATTCAAGGTCATAGCTATAAAGCCAAACCTTTTCTCAGAGGTCCACAACAAAAACTTACATAGAAAAAATGTGCAAATGGTGCTTTGCAATTTTTATTTTCTTTCTCTTGCTTGTTGTTTCTTTCTCTTGTCAGATGTTTTCAGTGTGAAATTTTTGCTTGGACTGTGTTGTGTTGATTCAGATGCTGACATTTAAGAAGCTAAATCTAGAGAAATGGAGCTTTTGGGTAAACTTCCAACTAATAAGTGGGGTGATTATGTCCATAATGTTGTGACTTTTAAATACCATTTAGGATGGTAACCTTCTAACATGTAAGTAACGATGGGTGGGTTTCTTAAGCCTACACTTTTCAGAATACTCTCCATTTTCTTTTCATGTTTTCTGTCATTAACTGTGAGAAGTTGTACTTTCCAAACGCATGATTTATTTATTGATTTGAGCAGACTTTCTAATTTAGTTTTTTATCCTTCATATTCACATTTTGAATTGGAGGTGTGCATGAAAAATGTATTGGTCATATTAAAATCTATTTAAAGGAAAGCCTTAATTATTCATGAAGTCGCCTAGACCTGTTAACCTTTTTTTTTTTTTTAAACATTCCTCGATCCAAAAGATCCTGGGGTCATTGAATTGCCCAGTGTAATGATGATGTTTGAACTTGGCTGTACGTCAGATCTTTTAGGGGTGCTTTACAAAAATGCTGATCCTCAAAGGACATCCCTCTAAGGTGTTTTTATTTAATAGATCTGAGCTGGGTCCTAGGAATCTGAGTTTTAAAGTGCTCTCAGAGGAATATGATGCCCAGCTAACTTTGAAACGCATTTATTTGGTATCTTTTAAAATATCCAGGTGGAGTATGCATTGCAAAATAACAGGGAAGTTGGTGTTTGATGTAGGTTTTTGATTTCACGATTATTTGCAGATCCTTCAAGATGCAGAGGAACTAGGCTCTTATAGAGTTAGAATTAAGGAATTTTTGTAGCTTCATCTGAGAGATTTTCATCAATCCCCTCATTTTGTAGATGGGAAAACTGGAGTTTAGGGAGGATGCCAAACTTGCGGAAGGTTACTTGGCAATTTCCCAGGGAACCCATGATTGTGTCCAAACTCAATGACCCCTGTTGGTGTCCTTTCTCCCATCACGTTTTCAACTACCGACTACCATTACTACGTTGTTGGGGCTGAAAGCCATTTGTTAAACTAAGTAAATGAAAATGCCACGCAGCAAATCTTTGGTTTTCAAGGTTACTCTCAGAGATGTGTCTGAACATTTGTAATGTTCAGGTTTCATTCTACTTGCTAGTGCTCTTCTTTCTTGGGTGGAGATTTTCTGAAATATTTACTCTCTTTCATAACTAGGGATTCTTTGGAGTGAGAGTAGGTTGCTTTCTGAGTTTATTTGGTTCTCGGAGTGGTAGTAATAATGTCTCTTGACAAACTTCCAGCTCGACTGGTAATTTGATTTGGTAGAACTCTGGGAAAGTAAATGGTAGGTGGGCAGAGAAAATCGTAGCTTAACGTGACCCAGTTGTGGGTCAGGAGGTGGTACAGCGTGATCGAAGATGCCAAACGGGGGGCCGAGGACCACTGCTTTGGTTCTCTCAATGGGGACCTTCATCTTCCTGGCTCTGTTTCTTATTTTGCCTTCCTCCTTCCCAACTAAAAAATACTTCTTACACAAAAAGAACATATTTAGTGTCTACATGAAACAGAACGAAGCATGATAAAATGAACCCTGTTTACCTACAGGAGGAACTTAATAAATAAACTTACAAAATACTGTTTTGGCTTCATTTCCTCTTATATAAAGTGGTGGGATTGGACTACGTAATGGGCCCATCACCTTTCTGCTGGGCTTTCAAAGTTTTGTTCTGTAACTTTCCGATCTTTCAAAAGTTAATACACTTCCTGGATGTCAAAATAATGTTGTGAGACTATATGTGTATTTAAGGGCCTTTTGAACTTTCCTGGAAGTATTTTAGACCATCCTAGGTAACCTAAATTGGATTGAGATTAAGCCTAGTGTCGTTAGGAAGCAGCAGAAAAAAATTGTAGTGGTAATGATTTAACATTCAGCAGTTACATTATCTTCTTGGTGGTGACCTGTTTCTTCGGCTTGCTGGTAACATTGATGATACTTGTGCAGTTGATATTTTGCATTCCTGACTGTATGTTAGGCAGGGAGCGGGAACAGCGTTTAAACAGCACTAGATATTGTCAGTAATACATACTGTCAGGAATCAATTAGGAGTTTTAGAGGAAGAAGAAAAAGCCAATGTCCTTGTATGTCAAAGACACCGTGAAATAGCCTTGTC